ATCTGATTAGAGCTAGCATCTGGGAATTGCATCACTGTTTAGCTGTGGATATTCCACCTGCCAAGGGGAGGAATTGAGGCGAGGAGTCAGATTTTTATCTCCGGTTTCATTTTAGCGACTCCCATGAAAGCGTATGGGCAGGCTGCACAAAGAAAACTTCTGTTTCCATACAGGTGTAACACCTCTATATCCTACAAGTAATCACAGTACATTGCCTGTTCCATTCTTTATAACCTTTATCTTGCAAGAAGATTTATCTCTTAATTACTTTATGTGGAGCAGTGAGCAAACAAGGGCATACTCTACAAGCTCACAGGCTTTGTGCTCTTGGCAGGTGGGCATGGATAACTGAGTTGGGAAGGGATGTAAGCATTGAGCAGGAAGGGAATACTTTTATATTAGCAGTTTATACTTAGCTGAAACAGATGTGTCTTAGCCGTGAGAGTGTCTAAGATACAAATATGACAAAAAGTAGTATTTGTGTTATCCTTGCTGCTGAGAACTCATGCAAACTGGGGGAGCAGCAAGGCAATATGAGAGTGAAAACAGGAAGGAAGCAGCAAGCAGTTTTCAGCTCTTACTTACCATAACTGGCACCTGCAAGGATTAGCCTGTGATCCTTGCTGAGGAGCTCAGTAGTAAGCTAGGCTTCAGAGGTGGACTAGAACCCAAGTTTATTTCAACTGCTTAATTTTTAATTTGATACTTATCACCACTCCCAGAATTAGTTATCTGTTTAGCATAAAACCACTATCAGATGCTTAAAGAAACAACATAAACCCATAAAAGGGACCAAAATAAGAGTGACAATTTTACCACTTACCTGCAGACTAACACTCTGCTCTGCGCTCTCTGCTGTTAGGGATTTAACCATTCCCTTTAACCATTTACATGTTCAGCAGCGTGAGCTTAGAGTACCTTCAACAAACCCAGATGAGAGAAGCAGGATCTGACTCCTCCAGGGCCATGGGGATAGACTTGCCTTGCTCCTTGGACAAGTATTCTGAGAGCACAGAGTTATGCAAGAGAACAACCTCCTTTTCTTATATTTGTCAAGGACTCAATTCTGGGTGTTGGCACCCCAAGACTGACTATTAAGAGCAGAGCCTTCAAAACTTAAACTTTATTTAGTCTCTGAATTCCAACTATACATACAGCTGTTCAGGCTGAGTAATGCTATACCCATCCATAAATGAAAAAGGAAGACACCCTTCTGCAGTTAGGCTTTTCTTAAGTGTTAGATGCTGAATAAAGGTTTTTTGGACCACAGTATTATATTTAAAGGTTCTAAGTTTCCAAACCCATTTTTCAAACAAGAATTACTAAAGGGAACGTAGTGAAGTGTTCTCATTTACCTTTCTACTCTTCATGAAGTTGTGGTATCTCAATATTAGCTGATAAAGCACTATACTACACATGTATCCAGTAGCAGTGATTACAGACAGACATACTCTGGTTTAGTCAGCCATCATTTCTCCCCATGTTATACGTAAAGAATGCCCTGAACTGTGGCCTTGAGAGTGACAGTAACGCATGATGGGCATTTTGTAATCCTGAGAAAGCTTCAGGCAGCAACCTCTGTTACCCAACATTTAAGACTAGTATTATCTGTCCTTCAAGGCTACTCATGCATAGCTATTCTGTACTTCACACACACTTTTAAGATCCCAGCAGAATCTGAAAAGGGTGATGGTCTTCTGTAAAGCAAAAAAACAATAGGAATAGACTGAGGGCCAGCAAGTGGCAGCTGTCAAGGTAGGCAGACATCTTGTAGTGTGTCATTGAGGCAGGGAAGCAGTATAAATCAATTACCCATTTGCAATAGAAAAATTTTATTTAAAAGGGATGACTGATAACAACCCACTGCCTCTCATCAGCCCCAGTCCTCTTTCGTAAGTTCCCTCTCATGCCAGCGATATTTCCCGTGGGTTCTTTAGCAGTCATGGAATGAGAGAAAGGATTGATAAACTATACACTACAACAGAAAAAAATAAGGCATGTAGCACTACTTCTCTACATATTCAACACTAACCAGAGAAGCAAAACAGTGAAAGTTAATTACAACATTAGAATAATTACACAGAAATATTTCAAGATCTGTAATCTAGACAAGTAGTTGGGAGACTTTTCAGTAACAACTCTTCATGAAAAGATGTTTCTGCAGAGTAAATATTTTCTTCACAAGTTTTCCTCTGAAGAGGCTGATACTTCTTTTCCCCCTCTCCAGAGAAAGCCAGAGATAGTGTTTCAGTTCCCATGCCATAAGTAGTCTCCCAAACTGTCTAGAATATGAAAGGTGCACAACATTAACATTTTTTCTTCAGTATCTTCAAGCTTTATAACTTTAACATTTATATAACAGACAAGTGGAGTACAATTAGCATATATACTCATTATGCTTGAAATGCCACTGAACTTCTGCAGGAGTACTAAAGTCTGGAATTAAAAGAAAAAAAAAAGATCAGAAAGAACAGGACCATTACAGAGCACAAGTCTTTCATTTTTTTCCCTAGAAATATGGGGTAGCTCGCCCGCATTCCCACAGATGACTAATTGAGACTCCACAATCTGTTTCATATAACTTTGTTATTACTCTAATTGTTAAGTTTATCATTCCAGATTTGCCCTTAGAAGGGAGATGTGCTGTTCCCACATGTACCCCATCACTGGGGTAAGCACACATTCTTTACCCCCGACTTCAGCCCTCCTCCCAGACCACGCTGAGGGGAGAAGGGCTGGTGTCAGGAGTAATTCCCACTCCTAATCACTCCCCCTGTGTAATCCAGAGAATCACTGTTAACCTGAACCAAAGGAAGGCAAGTATTGAACAGACACAGGAACACCACACCCCAGAATAATTAGTGTTCTTTTACAAGCACTTGCTGTGTCACAGCAGGATAGTCCTAACTGGCATATGAAGGTGATGAGGGCTTCGAGTTTTGAAACACAGACACTAAGCAGAGGCTTGATAAAATTACAGAAATACTATTCTTCATTAAAGAACTTTTTTTCTTTTTTTAATTAATCATTTGAGGAATTGTTTTGCTGTTTTGAATGAGAGCATTAAGAACAAACTTTCCCACCTATCAAGGGGTGCTGGTATATTAGCAAGCTCTGAAAGCCTCATTTAAAAATCAAAGCTACTGAAGTTTGGGAAAAAATACAGTGCTTCTGAGTTTCATGTATTGTTTGAGATCAAAGTGCATGCTATTCTTCTCTCTCATTCTTCAGTTCTTATAGGGCTATAAAGTCATCAAAAACTGATAAATCAATGGCAGGAAAGATAGCAAGAGCATGTTGAAGTAAGGTCTTTCCTTCAATATTGCTGTCAAGATAGGTATTTACAACTTGCTATCTCTTTTCTTTGCTATTAAATTCAGATCAAGACATTATGATACTGCTATGAGTGATACCAATAAAGCTACTACTGCTCAGGTTGACAGGTAACCAGTAGCACCATGCCACTCAGATTTTTGATCCTCTAAATCTTTCAAGAGTCATGGAAGTGAAAGCTACAGAAATCAACTGGTAGTAAGATATCAGTGAGCCCTAACATTCCAGATCAAAAAGAAAACAACTATATCCTATGACTCCAGGCAATCTGAAGGAAAAAATACTCAGAAGGGGGGAAAGTGAATATTTAAATACATGCTTACAATGAAAGACAAACCTCCCTCAACTTAGGCCTTTTGTGAAGCATTACATTATGACATCTTTTCCCAATATGAATTATCCAAACTTAAACATGAAATACAAAAGCTATCACAAAGACTTTAAAATATTTCAGTGCTCTTCTGAAGATAAGAAAACATGAACTCAGTAATCTCACATGCAGAAATTGCTCAGGAAAGCTTCCCTAGTGCTGACCTTCAACTTTTTCCATCACTGATCAAGGAGTATGGCATACTCTTAATTCATGCAGATAAACAAAGAAAGCGACACTATAATAATGAGGTTGGGATCTTTATATGCAGGGCTATTATGAAGGAAAGGCAAAACAGACTAATTCAAAATGCTTAATCAAGATAGAGAGCTGACAAGCTCCACGTTTTAGAAGGTATCCAAGGACAGCATGGCAGCTGTCATGAAACTGAATGCAAGATTTTTTTCCCCCATTTTAAAACCATTAGATATTATTTTAATGTCTTTCAATGATTTGAGTAAATTAAAATTCATACACTTGCACCAGAAATGTAACTCAGTTAAAACAAAACCTGATTAATCCACTAACGATCATGTAAAAAATCAGTCCTGTTACATTCAGTGCATTTTAAAGAGTGCTTAGTATCAATGCTTTTAAAAATCCAAGTTAGTAATTTCTGACCATCATGAATCTTGAGAAGTTTTCTATTATTTTGAAATTTGAAAAGCATATCGGATTTATAGTAGCATTTTTAATAGAACAAAAACCATTTTATTCACATAACTCTTCAGAACAGTACTGATGCTTCCACCGTGTCACTTAATCACAGGAACAGCTCAAAAACTGGGTGGCATTTACATGTATCTACCAGTATTGTAACGATCATTTATATAAAGTGATCAAAACTGGACACAAGAGGAATTTGTTGGCAAAGGACAGAACAGCATAACACTATGGTCATGTCATAGGAGATATTTCAAGAGATATTTGCATGTTTTTCACGTACACCAATTGGCATTTCAGGAACTTTTTTTGTTTTCGCTTCAGGGGGATAAAAGAACTTGAAGATTCTCATACAGGATTTTGTACTCTAAACACTGGAGGTCTTTGTAAGTAATAAAGACCATAATCAATTAGCAATTTTCATTGTTCAATCCAAGCGGCATGCAAAGAGTGAAACAGCCCACAGTGAAAAGCAGTCAATTAAATTCTTTTTAATGATCTGCCAGCATTATCAGAAGACACAAAGAACATTTAAAAATGTGAACTTTATGCTGAGTGTCATTTTAAAAGCTAGCAGCACAAAATATTTTTTGAACAGACCAGACATCTCTGTTGCATCCTGAACAGTAGCACATCATTTTGTTGTCCATGATTTTTGACTCCCAAGTTTTGCAAATGCTGATACATCAAGACTTTTACCACTGTTGCACTGTTCATATAAAGTCTGAAAGTTAATAAAAACAGAGGTATTCAGGTGAACGCAGTTGTATCGCACATGAATTCAAACTATATCTTTATAACAAACATTACCACTTGAAATAAGTCATCACATACTGAAATATTCCAAACTCCATACTAAAATTTCTATCTCAAATCAGAAACTAAAGATACACTTAAGACAGCATAGTTGTACCAGTTGTAACGGAATGTGGTGCCTAAAAGAAAACACATACACTGACTTAGCAGCATGAAGTTGGCAGAGAACAAGTTAATTACCAAGACTTAAAACCAAGTTTACTCCATTAATTGTCTCTGATGCGGAAACACCAGTGTGGAACAGAGGTATCTGCATATTCAGGGTGAGCAAGCTTTATATGAGATCAGAAAATCAGTGGCCACAAACATAGCCACATCACAGTATTGTTAAAAGGATAATCTCTTGTTCACCCTCACATTTAAAAAAAAGAAAAAAAATCAGGTATGACTAGCACTATAAGTGTAAATAAACTTCTTTAGATTTACTTTATGCATACTGAATTTGCTTTCCTCCCCATGAAAGCAGCTTTGCGTTCCATCTCAACTTATTACATATTTGACCACCATCACCTCTTCTGAGAGACAGATGGAAAGAACTGAGTTGGTGAAAAGTTACCAAGCTTCTCTTTCAGGTAGTAAACCAAGAGGCTGGAATCATAATACCTCAACATACAGGGACTAATTTACACAAAGCAATGCATTAACAGTTCAGCAACTTCCAGGAAGTAAGAACAGTTGCAGTCCAAAAGCTTGCACACTTGACAGATTGATTTAGATCATTTCTCCATAACGATGGCTCTTAAATTAGAAGACCCACTACAGTTTTTGGGCAGCTTAAAAGCAAAGCAGCACAGTAAGGACTGTTTTAGAGAGGAGATGCTGGGGCAGTGGGAGATTTGGAAATAAAGCAATACAGATAATACTGGGAGGTGGAAAGGAAAGAAAAAGCTAAAATCAAGATTACCATCATCCTTTGAACCCTTCCCATTCAGAAGAATGTGGAGATTCTGCATGCTTGCAAACAAAAGCACTAGAACATGTAATGTTTTTCTAGCTGTGGTTAAAGCTTTGATATATGTATCCTTTCAGCTTTCACTACTCAACATTCTAACCTTTGTTTGCATGAACATGTACTACCATACAAAATGGAAAAGAAAATTTACTCACCCTAGCAGCTCTAGAAATAGAGTTGGGAGAATTCAAGCCAACTAGCTGGCCAAGGATACGTTTCATTTCCTCTGTTGTTCCTTTTGCACTTGGAACACCTGCAGTTAATTTATAATTATGCTAAAGTTGTATACAACTATGTGCAAATTACCAGTGCAGTTTGTAAGATGTATACAGAAAGTCAGTTCTGAAGTGAAGAGTTTAAGAATTAAAATACAGAAATCTTTTCCGAGATATACATAGGCACTAAACAAAATAGATTGTTACACCGGCAAGCGGAAAGCACATATAAGAGCAAAGGATTTTGTTTTCTTAAACAGAATTATAAATACTATTTAATAAAAATGTATTTTAAAATAAATGTACCTGTTTGACAATTACTTTGAATTTGAACGTAGGGATGTATCAGCAACTCCGAAACAGATATTCTTTGTTTAGGATTTCTTATTAAACAGCGCTGCAAATGAAAAAAGAAGAGGAAGAATGCTTTGCCTATACATTAAGAAATTTCCTAAGAATTAACAGTGAAGATATTTAAAAGACCCTGTAGATGCATGTCACAACTTCTTACTGCCAAACTACATACTCAGAAAGACTCAACTCAAAATACAATAACAAATTAACCTAATTGCCTTCATGAGCAATTATCTTCAGATTAAAGTTTGGCATCCTGTTGCTTGAGAGCAACAATGTCAGAAAAGGTGAAGAACAGAACCTACAATATCCTTTTATTCTGAATGACACAAAATGACACTGAGGTTTGAAAGTTAAGGGGATTAAGTGTTTCTGGATTTCAGTTTGTTACCTGCTGAGCAACACAACTGGGGCTCGACTAAAAGCACAGGCCAAGTTTCAAAAGCAGGCAAATATGCAGTGTGAGGGAAAGGGATGGTGAGCACAAAGGCTACTGTATTCACTTTGGGCTGTTCAGCCAAAGGAGTTAACCCAGACTGCTTTAAGTATTTACTTGTTTATTTGCTACTGAGCTGAAAAAGACTTTTACTATGGAAACTACATGAAGCAGCTCTAGCTTCATTAAGTCTTCTTCTGGAATAAGGCCTGTTACTACAAGTAGCAGTGAGCATTTATTTGTGGAAAAAGCTTCTCAAGCACAATTCATTCAGTTTAAGAAAGTATCCTTTAAGTAAAGAAATTACCACTATTTGACTCAAAATTAATCTTAAGGCACAGTTACCTTTAGCACATCTTGAAGATCCTTCTCGGCAATATCTGGAAATTCTATTTCATAACTAGCATCAACGATAGCATGCAGTTTATTAATTTGGTTTGTTATATGTTGAAATGGAGTCCTTCCATATGTCATACAGTACAAAATGCATCCCAATGACCAGACATCACTTTTGGGACTTATCTAATATAAGAACAAAAAAAATTGACATTACTCCTCACTAAAGGAACTATCCCTTCAGTCAATTTATCATATAATTATACAGTCATTTCACTTAACACTATATCTATTTTATATTGGATAACAGATCTTAGTAACTATCACACAAAATCACCAAGACAGCATGCCATTACCTACTAAGACAGTGATGTGGCTTCATTCAGTAATATTCCATAAGAAAGCTATTTTTATTAATTATCTTTGAAAATCAACTTACTTGAACAACTAACTTAAAATAACATTAAAGGTAGTCCTTAAGTTGAACAGCAGGTTTCTAATTTCAGATTTATGAGTAAATACAAATAAAAGCATACTAAATTAATTCAATCCAGAAACCAGTGAGACATCATCACAGCTATGTGCCCAAAGTGGGAAGACACAGTCCAGTTCCCTTGGGTTTAAAGGATTCAAATCTAGATTTCAAACACCACACCTGGGCTGTTCCTTACGGGAGGAGTTTCCACTTTTCCTGTTGAAGCTGAAGGACTTTAAGAAAAGCACATAAGGTTGGGGGAGTGAGAGAGAGGAAGGAGGTGAGGGAAGAGGCACACGGAGAGCCTGACTCCCAGCATAATGGTCAGGTTTTTGCTTAGATAAGCTGAGCTCCAGAACAAGTCTGCACTTTGCATGCAATTTTTCAACATGCGAAGGTAAAACTTTTAAGGGTAAAAAGTATCATCCTTAACAAAAGAAATCCATCTATAAAACATTCTATTCTGTGTTTAGAAAGACAAGATTGTGTTTCACTGCATAGTAATACTTCCCTTCAACTGTTAAAAAGTCACAACCTTTTAGTGTGTATATGCACAGATATGAATATGGATTTTTTTTTTTTTAAAATACCTTTCCACAAAACTATGTACCCCTTAACTGAAGTTTGACTGCCAATGTGAAATTGCTTTCCCTTCAGTACTTTCCTCACCATTCACGTTTTGTTGCCCTGGTGGAGTTATAAGTAGTTCTACAACACACAGTACTCTGTAGCATAGAAAAATTAATAGGATACGCAGAACTCACCCATGTGTTCCCTAAATTACTAGATTTCATTGCACCGCCTTTTAAAGTACCTTATCAGGTATCACTCATTTCTTGCACAACCTGCCTCTCACTTCAAAGAACTCAAAAATATGACAGTGACACAAGGATCACCATATCTTGTTGTTTAAGCAACCATACTAACAATGGTTTATATCAGAAAGCAAATTTTCTTCCTTTCAGAAAAAGATTTCTAAGCCAGAGTAACTTATGCAGAATGCTAAAATGTAGCTGCATAGCAGCTACCAGTACCATAAGAGCTCCACCAATTTTTGACAGAACAAAGCTAAAACAGAAGGGCATAAGCAGCACAACAGGCAATCAAGAAGTGACTAAGGAAGAATTGTCTCACTTGACCCCATGGAATATTGTCCCAGAAACACCCTCTGAAAGCTCTAGCCTAGAGTGATTTCAGTGCAAAGAAGGACTTGTCAGAGATGCACAGCATGGTGGACCCTTAACATGCTCAAAAGACTTTTGTAACATTAGTCATCAGTACAGCCTGATATGTGAAAGGCTGCATGTATTTCACTGTACTCTACATTGCTGTTCAATGCCATTCACACTGATAACATAGCAGAAGACTGTTTTATATTGATCCATAGAAATGGATTTTAAAATATTTTTACGTTTATTATTAGTTTAGATATTATCATTACATTATCATCAGCTCCTTCAACACCCAAGCCTGTGCATCAGTTTTGCTTTCAATTTCACTTATTAATTCGGCACTTACATTTTCCTAAACACCATCTGCGAAATGCTTTTAGGTAGTTGAGAAGAATAAACTTAACCTTCAATCTCTGCCCACTATCATTGTGGCACAAAGGACTTCCTTTTGTTCTAGTTTCAGTAGAAGATTTTGAGAAAATTAAGTCTTAAGGTACATGCCTGAATTACTTTCTTCTGAACATGAAGGGAATAGAGAATGTTACCTTAGATCGAGATTTCCCATTTTCTCCATAGGAAGACATATCTTTTATTGCTTCAGGTGGCATATAATTCATTGTGCCTCCCATTTTAGCCATAAAAATGTAAAAATAGTCCTTTAAGTGAAACATGTACTTAATTTAACTCACTTGATAAAAAGTTAGATTTTTGTCACAAAGCACTGAAAAGCATCTTGAAAATTTGTTTCTATTAAGGCTGAAGGCCATTGTTCTTCCATTCAATAAAAACATCTAAAAATTCATATATATGAGTATTTATATATACATACAAAAACATTCAGCATAAAATTTCAGTATTCATTGAAGTTACTACATTAATCAACACAATCAGCAAGTACTATAGCACTTTACAGAAAAGTGTACATCAATTTTCCAGAAGTATTTCACCTGAGAATCTTTAACGATGCTTGTCACATCTGGCTGCATTTGGTTTGCAATGCCAAAGTCAATTAGTTTTAACATTCCATCAACTATCAGAAAGTTTGCTGGTTTCAGATCACTGTGAATAATGCCTGTGAAATAGAGTGTAAAGTCAATCCAGGTTTAGTCAATCCAAGTTACTACTGAAGTACTATTTATTGTGGTTTGTTTTTTTTTTTTATTGCTCAATTCCCGTAACCCTTGAAGAGAGGGAAGGTACAGATCAGCTTTACCTGGCCAAAACCAAATTATTCTTTGCAGATTTCATAAAAGTGCTTCCATTTCTTTTTAAACAATTAAGACTTGCATGAGTTTATAGTTTGAATTATTACTTATTCAAATCTGCGGGCACCCCAAAATAGCTCCAAGAGACTTGAGTTGGATAGTTTCTCTCAGTTAGGGATAGGCCCTCTAGCTGTATGTGCACACTGCCATACTGAACTGCTGTTCTGGATCATTTCAATGGCCTGTCCACTCCTGTAGCTTTCTCTTAAATAATTAGCTAAGCAGGTACTTAGAAGAATTCTATTGCTCAGTCTGATGTTTTCTGCTTCCTAATCTCAAAGGTACCATTCACTGAGGATTACATATGACTGACCTCTCACAAGCCCTACTTACATGATTTATTATGAATTTGGGTTATTATCCATATAATCAACCAATCCATCTTTATATTTTGCAAAATTGATTGTTTCAAGTACACATCACATAGTATGTAGCCAGTGTTTTAGTAGATTTTGCTATATTATTCAATGTTCTAGTGTTCATGTGCTGTGAAGAGGTGATGCTCTCTATGTGTGCAGGTCTCAACTTTTTTTTTCTTAAAATAGGAAAACGATCCAAATCTGCTCTCTCCTTCATGTTATACAGCCAAACAGAATACAGATGCATGCACTTAAATTACATAGGTAAAGATGAAAGGAAGGCCTGAAGAACTATGAGAAAGAGCTGAAACCTATGTCAAAGTAAAGACGAGCTGTGTAAAAGCTGTCATTAATGTCAAAGCTTCTTTGGAGAGGGTAAGTAGCTGAAATTTGTGTCTAATGGAGAACAAGCAGTATTGGGAGTATACAACAGTCTAAAACAGAAAAAATTATTTTCTGGCTGTTGCAAGGAAATAGAAAGCATTATACAACAGTGGTCCTTGGAGATCCCTTTGAGTTAGCAAAGTAAGTCTACCTCTGCATCAAGATTTACATTTGTCTTTTGTTTCACTGAAAGTTTTTTTCTTTGAAGATCACTAGGCTTGCACCAAAATTAAGAGCAGTACCACCTCCAAAACTTCAACACATTCATATTATCTCTGCCATATAACCTATACAAATACCTAGAATTATTTAAGAATACCATATTCATGGATTGTGTGAACAGCTTCCAGCATATTTTTCCAATAGCTCTTTCGTTCCAATGGATCAATGTTTTTCTTCTTTTTGAGCCAGCTATTGAGATCAATATTTCCACACTCCATTACCATGTAGATATGATGATCAGTAATTTCACTAAAAAAAAAAACATGTTAAAATTTAAGGCAACTTCTTTATATCAAAAGATACCGGTTTAATAAAATTAGGGTTTACTCACTAGCCATAAAGGCGGATGATCTTATCACTATGTTGCTGCAGTTTACTCAAATGAGCAATTTCATTCTTATAGCTCTCAACAGTCTGTTGATCAGCTTCTTCTAGATTCACATATTTGACAGCATACAGCTGCTTCTTTTCATCCAATACTTGAAACACCTGCAAAACAGTATCAGTTAGTAACTTCATTCAATCCTAACACTGATTTACTATGGTCCTTTATCTTATCACAGCCAGAATTTCAAAGAAAAAGCGTACCTTTTCAAAAAGAAGCAACACTAAATTTACAAAGTTCATGCAAGTCAGCATGAAGAAAAATTAAGCAAGAAGCCACCAGTTAGAACAGAAACAACCCTCTATCAGAAACCATGTTGGTACCACATTATATTTCACTAGATGTATTTGATCACAAGTCTGAACTGTTCCTAAAATAAAGAATGCAAAATAACACCTCCCACAGATATAAGCATTTGACCTGCTGCTGCACATCCAAGATGATTTGGAGGTTAGACCACATGGCACATGAGAAAAGGCTGAGAGCACCGAGACTGTTCAGTCTTAAGGTAAGAAGGCTACAGGGAGTCTTATTGCTGTCTTCAGCTATTTAAAGGGAAGGTATGAAAAAGATAGACTCCTCTTGAACTATCAAAGTATGAGAGGCAATAGGCATAGCTAACAAGGAAAATTCCCATTAGATATCAGGAAAGTTTTTTCATCATCATGCAGTCAAACAGGGGAACAGGCTGTCCAGAGAGGCTGTGAAATCCTTGGTGACACTCAAAACTCGACTGCAAGAGACCATGAGAAACCTGCTCTATTTTGGTCCTGCTTTAAGCAGACCATTGGACCAAGTGACATGCAGAGGCCCCTTCCATCCTACCTCATTCTACGATTGTATGCTGCCAACACAGGAAGTTTTTCTTCCTAGAGGTCCCTGCTGACTGAAAGCTAGTCAATGTTCTTCCAATTACAAGAAGGGCATGAGGGAAGACCCAGGAAACTACAGACCTGTTAGTCTAACCTCAGTTCCTGGCAAAATTGTGGAGAACATACTGGGTACTATTTAAAGGCATTTAAAGGACAATGTAATCATCAGGCACAGTCAACATGGGCTCACAAAGGAAAAGTCCTGTTTAACCAATCTGGTATCTTTCTATAAGGTCACCTGCCTAGTGGATGAAGGGAAGGCAGTAGACCTAGTGTTTCTGGTTTTTAGTAAGTCTTTTGATACAGCCCCTCACAGCCTCCTTCTGGGAAAGTTGTCCAACTGAGAAATGAGCATGTTCACAGTGCACTGGGTGAAGAACTGGCTGAAGGCAGAGCTCAGAGGGTTGTAGTGAATGGGGCTACATCTGGCTGGCGACTGGTCACCAGCAGCGTTCCTCATGGTTCAATTCTAGGGCCAGTCCTATTCAATATATTTATCAATGATCTGGATGCAGGAGTTGAATGCACTATTAGCAAGTTTGCTGATGATACCAAACTGGGAGGTGCTGTTGACTCTTGAGGGACAAGATGCCTTGCAGAGGGGTCTAGATTGAAGCATTGGGCAGTGATTAATGGGATGAAATTTAACAAGTCCAAATGCCAGACTCCACACCTGGAACAGAGTAACACCAGGCACAAGTATAAATTGGGAGAGGAGTGGCTGGAGAGCAGCCCTGCAGAAAGGGGTCTGGAGGTGCTGGCTGACAGCAGGCTCAACGTGAGTCAGCAGCGTGCACTGGCAGCCAAGAGGGCAAACCCCATCCTGGGATGCATCGAACACAGCATAACCAGCTGGTCAAAAAAGGTGATTATCCCACTGTATTCTGCATTGGTGCAGCCTCACCTTGAATACTGTGTGCACTTCTGGGCCCCACAATTTAAAAAGGGTGTTAAGGTCCTTGAATGTGTCCAGAGGAGGGCAACAAAGCTGGTGACAGGGCTGGAAGGAATGTCCTGTGAGGAGGAGCTAAGGACAAGCTTTGGGCTTGTCTAGTCTGGAGAAAAGGAGGCTGAGGGGTGACCTCATTGCTCTCTACAGCTTCCTGAGGAGGGGAAGAGGAAAGGGAGGTGACAAGCTCTTCTCCCTGGTATCCAGTGATAGGATGCGTGGGAATGGTTCAAACCTGCACCAGGGAAGGTTTAGACTGGACATTGGGAAGCATTTGTTTACCGAAAGGGTGGTCAAACACTGGACCAGGCTTCCTAAAGAGGTGGTCAAGGACCCAAACCTTCCAGTGTTTCATAGGCATTTGGACAATACCCCTAATAACATGCTTTAACTTTTGGCCAGCCCTGAAGTGGTCAGCCAGTTGGACTAGATGATCACTGTGGGTCGCTTCCAACTGAAATATTCTATTCTTATTCTATTCTGTTATTCTTTTCAATTTATTACACTCTGGATTAACAGAATCATGTAAGATATGCAACATTTAAAGCCAATTTCATCTCTTATGACACACCCAGACTGTTTCTTCTGTCACTAGAAAACACACAGCTTGATTGCTCAGTACCACTTTGGTTCTGTCAGTTCCTGCATATGCAAACATGAAACCAAAATAAAAAGTAGGCACAAAGGGTCATAAATATAAGCCAAGTCTAAACAAATATGATTAAATAACAGAAGAGCTGATTTTATTAGGAATTTTAATACTCACTCCACCATAAAAACTGTTATCTTCAAGAGCATACATAATCTGCCTTCAGGCCTTCACGCAGAAACCAAAAGAAAGTGGGCTCACACCATTTTTTCCTGATTTAAGTTATATTTTTGGGTGCTCATGAGAGTTGGGTGATCACTTTTTCCTATTTCTGTAACTTCTGTTCAGTGTTCTGACCCCATCTGTTCAGAATTTCTGTTCACCGTTTATTCTTTAATTCAACAGCCTGCCTTTATCTATGCACTGTTTTTATTTCTCCACTAAAATGAACAGTACTGTGCTTAACATCCTGTAATAATTGAAGCACCATTTTCATAAGACATTTATTCAGTTATTATTGCTGGCTATCTGAAGACTCAGATAAAACAGCATTGTACCGAATCTAATCTGTGCACTGTTTCTTCTGCATCCAGGAAGGATAAAGTCTAAGCATAGCATTAAAACAAATTTCTAGATTCTCTGGGTCACTCAAACACTTTGTACATGTTAGTACTAGGCACTGCTTATTAGATGACTTCAAGATGTATGTTTACAATACAACTACTACTGTGTAAATGAGTGACTGTCTAAAAGGACAAAAGAGCATCTTACCTTACTTGAGCCTCCACTACCTATTTGCTTTAATATTGTATAAACTCTTCCTTTGATGGCAAGACATTCATGTGAAGGTATAGGAGCTGGAACCTGTGTACATACAGAAAAAGTTAAGAAAATAATTATTGGTTGTCGTGGTTTAGCCCCAGCCAGCAACTAAGCACCACACAGCCGCCCGCCCGCTCGCTCACTCCCCCTACCCCAACGGGATGGGGGAGAGAATTGGAGGAGTAAGAGTGAGAAACACTCCTGGGTTGAGACAAGAACAGTTTAGTAATTGAAATAAAGTAAAATAGTAATGATAATAATAACAATATAATAGTGATAATAACAATAATAATATACAAAGAAAGTGATGCACAATGCAATTGCTCACCACCCACCGACCGATACCCAGACAGCTCCTGAGCAGCGATCGCTGCTCCCTGGCCAACCCCCCCCAGTTTATGTACTGAGCATGACGTCATATGGTATGGAATAGCCCTTTGGTCAGTTTGGATCAACTATTCTGGCTGTGCCCCCTCCCGGTTTCTTGTGTACCTGGCAGAGCATGGGAAGCTGAAAAGTCCTTGACTAGCATAAGCAGTACTCAGCAACAACTAAAAACATCGGTGTGTTATCAACATTCTTCTCCTACTAAATCCAAAACACAGCACTATGCCTGCTACTAGGAAGAAAATTATCTCTATCCCAGCCGAAACCAGGACATTGGTATACATGCAACAGAACATGGTAGAGCTCTACTTTTTATTAAGTTAATATGCTTTAAGTCATCTTGGTCTTTCTGAACAAGATAAAGTGTGGTAAAGCTAAACTTTAAATATGTTTGTCTTGAAAGCTGAAGAGCCCCATAGCAAAAGTATTTGTATAATGATCATCACTGGGCATGTAACATCATTGAACTCTTATAAAATATACCAATGCTCTTCACACTGGAGATCAAGAGCAGGGTGTTCTTTAATAAGGCTTCTCAGATAATTAGAGACAGTTCCATCTTTACAGATAATGTTGGATACTAGACTAAGAGACTTTCAGTCACAGCATGCAACTAACTTAGACCTGTACTCAAATCACCTACTATTTTATTTGAAGCTAACCACCAGCTAGCAGACTTCAGTGCTGTGAAGCTGAAACAGCCTGTATTGCCCGTACCTGCTACACCAAGCTGTAGAACAGCCACAAATTTTAAATACTAATCCTCTGGTAGAAAACTTAAACCTATCCCCCAATTCTATCTAAAATTGGGAAGTTTCCTACCCGAGTGTGCAACCCATCTATGGTAATCCATTTTGACATCATTTCAGGACACTACAAATGCATCAAAATTTGTGAAATTTAACAAAATAGAGAAGGAATGTAATTCTTCATTCTTTTACCTCCCTCAGACTCATGGTTTCTAACACACACAGCTTCTCTTTCTGGGTACTCCACTGTAGTGGGTAATACCACTATAGAAGCATAGCAGAACAAAAATAGTGACTCTATTTCTTGCCTCTGTCACGAAGTAGGATCTGAAAAGGCTTAGATTTCAGACATAAAGCCTTCAGGATTTTGACACAACTGAACTGATTTTTCAAGAGTTGACTTATTTTACCTAAATTCAGACATACATATGAAGAAACAGGTATTTTGAGACTAAGCAATACAGACTACTTTCCATTACTCATCCAGAAAGATGAACGGCAACTTTAGATTCAAAAAATATATACATACATGCATATATTTAACCTAAAGTAGTCTCCAGTGAAAATATGTACTGAAAGATGACAGGAGACAGCCTAAAATTGTTACCTGCAAACCAACTTGATTTTGAAATGGAGTTGCTGGAGTATGCGGTAGGAAATATGGAAGCTGGCTGTAGGGAGTAGAAATTTGACATCCGGGTAGAAAGTTGTTCTTTACAACTGGTGTTCTGAAACTGAAGGAAATTATGAACAATATGTGCATTTAGTTGTATTTTTAAGATTATTCTAACAAAGTTGAAAACTTCAGTGCTTCTTGAAAGTTAAACCCTATTGACTAGCAAAAGCCTGAGCCTCTGCTACATTCAATAATTAGCATTAAGATCACTTCAACTTCTCAAGTGTACTTCTAAAGGACTTCTAAGCTATAACATACTTCGGAAATATTTCTTAAAACAGTAACTAAATCCCCATCTTCAGATACTAGCTGGCACTCCCCACAAACTGGAAAATGAAAGCACCATTTCATTAGAAGAGCTGACCATAAGACAGCAAGATAGTCTGAGCCACAGTTAGTTATCTTTAGCTTATTGTTCTTTATTCAAAACCTTTTTAGATGGAGACTTTTTTTTTTTTTTTTAAAGTGAGCATATGGAGGGAGACAACTTCAAGGCAATCAGGAGAGGTTCTTTTGAGAGCTTTAGCTACACTGTATATGAGTGGAAAGATCATGTATTTAAGAAAACTAAGATTACAAGAAATCCTTTATGTTTTTTGATTTGTTCCCTTGATGTATCTACCATATATTTAGTTACATTACCAAATATACTTTTTTCCCTCACAGTATTTACAGAAATTGATGCTAAGATCAGAACTGGAAAAGGATTTATATACTTAGGACTTTTTTCTAGAGAATAAAATGACAAATGTTTGAAAAAGGTCAAAACCAGTCAAAAGCACAGTTCTCACTGAACACAAAAGCACTCAACTATTATGCATATTTACTATGTGCTGTACATACTGTGTGTAATAAGAATTTAATTTTTTAAAGTTTCCATATTACACAAGTTTGAAAGAAGCAAGAACAGAATCTATTCAAGGACCATTTTTATCAAGTTCCATCATGAGATGATGTGCTTCATTCACTACATATCTTTTAAACTCTACAGCTACAGAGACACAGGTCCTACCAACAGGAATAGTGCTTACTCATCATACAGCCTTGATCTATACAATTCATCCAAGAGACTTATGAAGACAGTAAGTAATCATATAATTAGAAAAGTTTATCAACATATGCACAGAGGTTTATGCCTAATTTAAGACTGCATGGATAGACAAATGCTATAGCATTTCTTAACTTCAGTGCTCGTTTCTGCAAACCTCTAGATTCCTTACACTTTTTTTTTAAAAAAAAATGCATACATTTGCATCATGGGAACCAGACTGATGTACAGTTATGAATCTAAAAAGCCTGTCAGACACAAAAACCCAAGGCATCCAAAAGCAAGTGTTGTGTAGCAGGGATCAGAGAAAGAGGTAAATGCTGTAACAAGGACTTATTGATTTGATGGTGTACTTCCAAATGGTGAAAAGCTGACAGGGAAGACAGAGTTCCCCAAATGCAGTCTGAATCTTCAAGTCAGGTGCTTGACATCAAGTGTTGGAAGCACTCTGAAGTCTTGTTTCCTATCTGAACAGAAAAGCTTAAGAAACCCTGTTAAAAACTGCTGAAGTCTTTTCAGAGATCGACTACCATTCATGAGGTGCAGCTCAAAGAAGTGGCTTACCAGTCCATATAGTCATTACATGTGGTGCTTGGTGTTCCACAAACATGTGATGGATCACTTTTCTTAGAAACAGCATCTGGTGGTGACAAACCTCTTGAAACAGGATGACCAGATTGTTCAAGGCTCG